GTTCCACAGGAAACTGTGTGACTTGTTTTTTTATCATTTATGTTTAAATATTTTAATGATTCATAATAAAAGTTATTTGTTTTAAAAAGATAAACTGATATTATATATACATTATACATGTTATATAGACTCACTTTCTATGAATGGCGGTATTATGGTTTGCAGGCAGATGGCGCTGTCAGCATTGTATATCAGATAGCAGGTAGGATATGTTGTATGTAAGTGAACATGTTACATATATAATATAAAGACTTATACAATGTTACATACAGTAAGTAATATACAAATGATTACAGTATATATGTTGTTTCATGTTCAATTTTTTTTTGTCTTCAACAAATGTTTCAAAACATTACACGTGTGAACAGATTTCTGAAGCGATGGTCACAAATGTATAGTGCGCCCGGAATGTAACATGCGTGTACTGTATAGACAGATCTCCCGCCTGTGTCACATATGTTTGGTATGTAAGTTGTCTGTAGTCAGCTTTGCCATACATGTATAGAATAATGATCATGTTATATAACAAGGATCATAATAATAATTTTGTACATGTTCATGTTTCATACAATGTAGACATACTGTATGTAACATATAGGAACAAGTAAAAGAGACATAAGTCACATGTGTTGGTGACTGTCGTGTTTCTGGCTTGGCTCAGGCGATAATAACCACAGTCACATGACCTTATCTCCCAATGATAAAAAGAAATGTCATAAACAAGGATCATGCCACAAATAAGTAATGCACATGCAGTCCTCAGACATGCTCATACAGTACAAGTGATGCAATGTATAGGGGACACCCCCAGTCCAGGATCCCCCATCTGCTGCCCGTCCAGTTTCCTGGCTCTGCATTCTCACAACTCCAAATAAGTGGAGAGAGGAGACTGAGAGGAGCAGCAGCAACTGATCTCAGCAGCTAAAAATACTTCCAGCCAGAGCTTGGAGCGTCTTCCAGAGACCCCCAGAGACTGACCTCCACCTGGAGATTTCCCTGTCTTGTGTGTGAAGACAACCCCCTCTGTATTACAGCCGGAGACTAAAAATACTCCAATCCAGGGCTAAGTGTGTGTGTGTGATAGAGACCCCCGGAGACTGACCCCCAATTGGAGCCCTCCGCAAGGTAAAGTCAAGGAAATTTTAATCTGTATAAGGATGTCGTGTGCTATATGTGTGTGTAGACTGGAGATGACCAGGCATGCTGAATTATAGACTTCAGTATGTTTGTAGATCGGAGACCCCCCCAGGGGTGCTGGATTATAGTATGTGGGTAGATTGGAGAACCCCAGAATTCACAGATTATAGATTGCAATATGTGTGGAGACTGGAGACCCCCCCAGTGGTGCTGGATTATAGATTTCAGTAGTGTGTAGATTG